TGGACACAAAAAAGTGGACATTTTGTGAAGTTTCCTCGTAAAATAAATCACGTTTAGTCCCTTTTACAAACACCTTTTTAGATATTAGATTGGAGAGAGATGATCTTCTAGATTTCGATGACATGACACATCATAAATAGGTTCATTAGAGATCCATAAATTAAATAATTTAACAATTAATTGATATATCATGTCACTAATATTTAATAATTATACATATAAGAATATCATTCATCTTAAATTGCATATTTACGTGTCTACATTCGATAGTGATTGATCGAAAAAGGTTGAAAAGACATGCTTTTAAGTGAGATCGAACGTCTGTAGGACATTCTGAACTTCTAAACATGTTTGATCAATTTATAAGTCATCCAACACACGTATATAGTTTTGAACACGTATCGGGCATATACCCAACCGTGTTAATTTTGGAGATTAAGGTTGGAACCGTGTATAAAAAAACTGAAACACATCATTCATAAATTAATGGCATGTTATCCACAAACATTAATTCTAGAATTAAATTGCAAGTCAAAAGAGTCGTGTCCCCGATTCATAATAATAAAGGTAGGAAAGGGGGTAATCAATACTATTATAGGAAATAATTGAATTAATTACTCTTTAATGATTATAATAGAAATATTAGAAAGTGCATCGCACTTGCACATTAATGAGAAATAGAATAATGCAAGTAAGATCCAAAATGGCCAAAATGTTGTCTCAAAGAATCTGCTGAGGTCAAAGGGCTTACGCACTTATGCACGTTAGGCTACTCGTGCTTGCCAAAAATCAAACAGTAAGTATTGTACCACTTGCTTGTGGAGGCCATTTTTATTTATATTTTTATTTCTGTGATAGTAATATTTGATAATATTGATAAAGATAAAATTATAAATATGAATTTGAAAAGAGATTTTGACCAACTAAAAAAGATAAAACCTTTAACTTAGGAGTAGAATCACCATGTCCATAATATCGAAATAATTAAAGTTGAGCCCCACTTTATGAGGAAATAGGATTTGAAACAGTGATTTTTTTATTAATGTGTAGTTAAAAAATATAGAAAAATTTTGAATTTACATTTAAAATTATTTTATGGGAGAACGTGTAGTTGAAATTGAGTTTTGAAAAAATAAAATGGAGCTTAAACATATGCTAAATTTACCCTATATATGGTGCTCGTTTGGCATGACTTTTGCCTTTGCTTCCTATACAAGAGTTTTATGAGAAAGTTATTTTAATTTTTGTTTGAAACTAATTTCTAAAAGAACTTCTTATTTCGAAAGTGCTTTTTAAAAAAAAATCACATTAGATCAGCTTTCTTTTGAAACTCTTTTAACAAGAAAAAGTACTTTAATAAAATTAGTCAAACGGTTCAAAAGAGTTCTTGAATATGAAAAACTCTTTTTGAATTCTCAAAAGGAGAAATTAGATCCAGTACCCTAAAAAAGTAAAATATAAGATTAATACCTTTAAAACTAATTAGAATTACAAAATCTCGTACTAATTATGTCCAAAACCTTGAAAAGCTAAAAAAGCCCGCAAATTGATTTTGTCGCTTTTTTGAATTTTCATTACTTTTTTGAATATTCGTCACTTTTCTTTTAATAGTTTTTCTTTTCTTTTTTAACAGGGTTGATAGTTAATTATACCACGAGTATTGATTTAAAGGAACACGATATGTCATTTTCTTATGAAAAAGTGACATGATGCTTTTTAGTAATGATATATCTTAGCTCCTTAAAAAAAATTACAACAACAAAACAACAACAACAACAATAATAATAAGTAACATGATATGTCAATTCTTTAACAAAAAGTGACATACACTTTGAATTTCATAAAATTTTGCCAAATTTAGCTTATGTGTAAATATAAGGACACACCATTGTTTTATTGATGAAATTGCATATCAATGATAACAATGACAACTTAATCTCTTTTTAATAGTGTCAAAACTTAGCATATTTAAAAAAGTGACATAATTTGTAATTTTTTTTTTTAACAAAAGAATGACTTTTACGTTTTAAGAAATATTGTTGTTGTAAGTGTTATGATGTAGGTCCAATCGATTTAGGTTGTGAATACTTTTAATATGGTAAATGTATTTTATATTTTGGTAAGATCAATTATCTAATTGAATTTATTTTCTAATATATTAAATTAATAAAGTTCGAAGATTCAAGTCTTAATAATTGGTTAATCACATAGAGTTGTGATTGTTAAAGACAAATTATATATGACTGAATTTTTAATTATCCATGGTTCTAAGTAATAACGAGATACGAATATCGTTATTAAAATTAGACTATCACGTGTTGCATTTCTCGCTTTTCTTACAATCTAAAATGTAGGACACTTAAATGAACACTTGCACATTTTATTAAAGAACAAAGCATTGGAAACCCGCTGGAAAGATTTTACATGGATAACTATATGAGTTTTAGTGGTTAAACCTTAACGTCCGATAGTGTAATTGGTCTATAATTTGAGGTTGTCATAGTCTCTTATATAAGAATAGTCATACTTAGGTGATGTTAGATGTTGCTTTACCAATAATCGTT